ACAGGCGAATGCACTTTTCATTTAACAGACAAGATATTTATTTTAAAAAAATGCACCCAGCACTACAAGGGAGATAATTAATGTAAATTATATAGATTTATAACAGGTAAATCATTTTTAATCAATTTTTTTTTTCAATTCGAACTTGGTAACAGCCTAATAGATTTTCCTTTTGTGATTGACCTACTCTGTTTCATTTTCTACTTTCAGATCTATTCTTCGGTTATTTCAAGTTTATACTTAATATAAGTAATAACCCTGTGAGGTACGTAAAACGTAATCACAATTTTTTTACGACATAAAGACATTTTTACCGTAACTTGCTGGGTACACCCTTTATTGTTGACAGAGTTAGACCGTAAATCTGATGCTGTAGTGCACGCTACAGAGATTCGTCACCAAATTACACCTGTTAGACTACCACACCTTACCTTACAAACGTCAACACGCCTTATATTTACTGCCCCAATTTTTGTCTTGTCAGTCTGTAAACTTTGAACGAAAACGCATCACATAGAGCATTGCAAGGATTATTGTAAGGAATTTTGTTCGTTATTCATGGTTATGACTTTGAAGAGCGGGAGAAGGTAGGTCACTGAATGAATGAAATATTAATTTTTAAAAAAGAGCCTAGCCTATAATGAATATTGTATCAAGAGTTAGCCTAGATAGTAGGCATAAGCGTACACATTTATATGGTAGGCTATACATTTTAATTTACATGCGTTACAGTAAAATATATTTTTTTATTTTATAGAAAAAAGAAAAAAAAAATGTTTTCTATAAAAAAAAAATTCTTTAAGCAAATATAACTGAAAAAAAATAATGTTTCATCCAATTTTGCGAAGGAACGTTATCCAGGGTCTCCTAAAGCGCGCGTAAAGTTACTGGACATCGCTTAACGAGAGCCTCGACCACTCGCAAATCTATTTCATGCATCTATATAAATGCATTTCGTATTTAATTATAAACATTGGCTTTGCAATAATCAAAAAATTATTCATACATTTTATTTTGTCCTATTTTGTTTTTGACAAATTGCGAATGTAGGCTATATAATTATATACATTGGCTTTGCAATAATCAAAAAAGCATTCATACATTTTATTTTGTCCCCTTGTTTTTGACAAATTGAGCAATGATGTAATCTAAATATGTAAATTGTTCATGTAAAATGTTAATACAAATTGTGGGGTCCCATTTTCTTGTAAATGTGAAATAAAATTAATTGTAATTAATAAAAGTCTTTAAACCGATACACAACAATCTGTTCATGCCATTATTAAGATGACAGGCATAACATTTTGGAGCCTATTTTAATAGAAATAACTGTTGTAGTTAAGTACAGTATATAGTAATAATTCTTTTAAATTTACAAGAAAATGTGACCCCATTAGTATTAGCACATTTATTGTCGTCATTTTACATGCCCTTTCAGATGTAGGCCTGTTTAATTATAAAAACCTTTATATAATCTAAATAATATATAATTTAAATAATATAATTTAAATAATCTATAACATTAAACTTATTGCATGTGTCCTCTAAACCAGTGTTTCCCAACCTTTTTTTAGTCGCGGCACCCTTTGGAAATTTTAAGAAACTTGTGGCACCCTACAAAATTAATTTTGTCACAATATTTGAATTTCTAACTTTGATATGATAATTTGAAAAGTATAGATATTCGGTACAACAGGGAAGAACTGCAGAATATAATGTCATACAGATATTTTTAATATTAAAAAATTGTCCATCAATGGTGGCAATCAGTAGGCTAATTTCTAATGAAGAGACCAATTTATATGACAGATTTTAATGTAGGCTTTTATTCATATGTAAACACTGTGAGATAGCTAGTTATAATGGTAATTAAACAAAGTTTTGATTTTACAGCTGGGTAATTTTGTTGCAGTAGCACGAGATAGCTTGATTTCAAACTTTGAACTGAATAAAAAATGACAAGTAAGCAGTCAGTAATAAAAGAAGAACAAATAAATAAATTAATAATGATAGCACAAATAAAAAATAACAACAGGCCTTCGAATTAAATAAATTGCGTTTTAGTTTTTCAGGTAGGTCTAACACACAGTAGAGCTATTAAGAGATTTTTTTTTACCAATTATCCAAATAATGTTTAGTCCTAGAAAGCTATTATTATCAGAACACGCGAGCATAACATAGCGGTTAGCAGATCAATGAATGAGAGGGCAGCGTTACCAGAGTTGCCCATATACCACACCATGTTACAACACAGTAGGGCTATTGCAGACAGAAACAATACTGTACTACATCGATGTTTCCTGTCGGCTCAATTTTTGAGTGGACTTTGCTGTTCCGATGAGCATGAACGATATATGAGTGGAGCACTCACATGGGCCGCGAGCGACTGAGCGGAGCGCACACGCATAGAGCGGGATAATACGCAGAGCGTCACACCACGTGAAAGTGAAACCTGAGCGGTGAACTAATTTTCGGCAGCCGAAATTTCGGTGCATCTCTAATTATTGGCGACATCAGAAATTGATATTATATAATATATGCTTTTTTGAAAATTTTAGCAATTTAAAAATATTAAAAAAGGATTTTTTTACACGGCACCCCTGCTCTCGACAGACGGCACCCCAGTTGGGAAACACTGCTCTAAACCATATGTTTTGGGTATTGAGACATTCAACAGAATATCTGATTGGAGATAATTACCTGTGCAATTCTGGCCAAATTAAAGATACATTGTGTAGATATCTGCACCCACAGCCGATGCAATCCGACGGGACTCAGGCAGAAATCATGTTCATGGATGAGGTAATAATTTATTAACGTAGTTGAATGAAGCAGGGTGAGGCTGAAAGCCATCAAAGCGAAACGAGGCCGCTGAACGAGTGCGACACATGGCTCGAAAGCAGCGGAGCTTTTATTATACCACAGTCGACCGCTTCCGCTTCTTCCGGTCGTGTGTATGTGGGGAAAAAAAGCATTGCTTATTTCTCTGGATTTAAACATTCTTCGAAACATTTGGGATAATGTAAGTACACAAGTCAGCAAAATATATAACACTGTTCTAGTGGTTTTTGGATATTTTAATAAAAAAATCTTATCTCAATCTTGTATCTCATATTGTGCCTTTAACTTAAAAAAAAAATAGGAGCAGAGTCAACAATTTAGGAGCACCTACCGATCAATGACAAAAATTTAAGTGTGACTCCTTAAAGTGATTTGCAGAGACACCTTTGTAATGGCATTTTTTCCTAACCTTTTTAAATATCAAATTCATAAATTTATATTTACAAACCTTTTTTAAAAAATTTAATGAAAAAAAAAAATAATTTAACCAGACATCAGGAAGAATAGGTTACCAACCAAAGGAAATCAGTATCATCAAAATTCATCTTTGCACTACAGAGGTGCACAGAAGCACACAAAAGTGGTATTTCAGTATATTTACACTGTTTAATGAGGCTCAGAGGTGGCATGAATGCATTTAATTAAATTTTGATTAGATCAAACAGCTGATTCATTCATGAACAAAGCGAGTGACTGTTTTTTGAATGGGTGACTGAAACATTGACTCACTAGATTCTTTCAAAAACACACATTCATTTATTTACAACGGCTCAGCTGTGACTTTGTTTGGAACTATTTTCGTTGATAAAATAGAGCAAAGACAGACAACAGTGTTCCTAAAATGTAAGCCACACTTCTTGTTTATTGAACTGTTGTATAAAATCAATATCACATTTGCAAACTCTCTTATAAACAATGGAAAGCCGTCACTCATCACAGTTCATCTCACAAACTTCTGCTACAGCTCTCTGCTGCATAATGAATCTCTTATGTACATTGTGTCTACACTTTTTTTTTGTAATGAGAGGATCAGCACTGACTGATCCTCTCAGCAACTCAGCACTAAAAAAACCTGAGTGATTCAAATGCCTCTGATTGGACACGCATTCAAGAAATCAACAGATATGTCTGTTATTGGCTACACTGCTCAACGCTGCTAGAACACGTTGTAAATTGAAACCTTCGATGCTCTCCAGAGCACAAACACAGACTCGCATGTATGTCTGGATTACCGTGTGCGTTTCTGGATCTATTACGTGCTTGTGCAAGTGTGGTAGGTTATGATATTATTTTCAATCTATATGCGTCTCATTAATGGAAATGCGAGGTAATTTTGGGCTAGACTACAATATTTTTAGACAGAGTTTACATTAAAACCTGGAATATTCAGGTACGCTAACAGATTTGTCCATATAAAATTTTCATTTAATACGCATATGTTAGAGTTAGATGTAAAAGTAAGGTGTTCAGATTTCATCCTAGATAATTCTACCTGAAGCAGTCTGGTTTTACAATCTGTTCTGTAGGGAGTAGGACGTGCACCTATAGAGAAGCATTTTAATTGGCTGCAATCACAAAAGTATTATGGCCAATCACAAAAGTCAACATTGCCCAGCTATAGACACAAATACCCTGCTACGTTTTTATTATTTATTGCGCTACGTTATGTGCGTAACTCAGATTGCTGTTCAGAAAGTTTACTCATTTGTAGAAATTATTTTATGAAGGGTAAAAGTATTCATCGTACAACAATTAAAATAATATCTAATGTCTTGTATCCTCTTTCAGCAGTTTATTTCTTTCTAAGCAGGATGGCACAAGGAAAATTGTATTCACCCTGTGTAAGTATTGTAAATATAGAATGTGTGTAATTTATCATATTAATGGAATATGTATATGGAATATATATGGAATATACAGTAGAATGTGTTCTACAGTTTGTTCTGGAATTGTTCTGTTTTTGGCTAAATATAAACGAAAATTATTGAAAGATTTTACAGGAATTTGTTTCTTTTTACAGTGTGTTTGTGGTGTGCTATTCATTCTACAACTAGAGTTGGGTAAGTGATTCAATTATGTGTCATTACTTTTTTTATCTAATACAAACATGTTTTTGTAAAAAGTAATAATAATTTTTTAAAAGGTATAATATTTTTCTTTTAAAAATCCAGTGCTTCAACAACGGAGTCTACAACTTCAGGATATACAGCTTCAGAAACAACAACTGTACTTGCCACTTCAACATCAGCAACATCAGCTCCAACCTCATCTGATTCTTCAGGTACAACAATGGTTATAACTACGGAACCACTTGCTTCAACAACCATGCCTACATCTTCAGAAACGACAACTGCAGCTGAAACAACAAATACTGCATCCACAACCACAACTGAACCTTCCACTGCTACAGCTGTACCCAAAACGTCACTTGGACTCACAACAATGGAAATCACTACAACTTCAGAGAGTACAACAGCAGAAACGACAACTACAGCTTCATCAACCACACCTACAACAACAACCGATGCAACAACATCAACAGCTGAAAGTTCAGAATCCACAACTCTTACTTCAACAGTGGTGCCTACAACTTCAGAAAGTACAACAGCAGAAACCACAACTACAGCTTCATCAACCACACCTACAACAACAACCGATGCAACAACATCAACAGCTGAAAGTTCAGAATCCACAACTCTTACTTCAACAGTGGTGCCTACAACTTCAGAAAGTACAACAGCAGAAACCACAACTGCAGCTTCATCAACCACACCTACAACAACAACCGATGCAACAACATCAACAGCTGAAAGTTCAGAATCCACAACTCTTACTTCAACAACAATGCCTACATCTTCAGAAACAACTGCACCTG